TTGTAAAGACAGGCATAACCTCCCCTCCCCATCTCTTCGTTTTGCATATATTTTGCATACATGCCCACACATAAGGAGCAATCCGACCTGACAGTTATGCCAGGGAGCTGGGTAGACTCTGTTTTCCAAACCTGCTTGACTCAAGAGAGGAAAGATAAACCACATGACCAGAAAACCAGGAAGCGGCGCTGAAAAGAGAAGCCACGCCCCAAACAGTCGTGGGAATGCCCGCCCCCAAGGCCAACCAATCAGGGATTGTAGTGGTGCCCACATGCCACCCAGACATAGAGCCAATGATGATGATGATGATGATAATTAATATATTGATTGCCTTCCAAATCACTGTCTCAAATTGATATGAGAACCATATTGAAATATCTCACAGAAGATGAAGCAAGCTTGTTTTCTCTTGCTTTGGAAAGTTGGACTCTAGCCAATGTCTTCAAGTTGCATATATTTCCGAGCACAATTCAAAGTGTTGGTGCTGACCTTTAAAGCCCTAAACGGCCTCAGCCCAGTAGACCTGAAGGAGCGTCTCCACCCCCATCATTCTGCCTGGACACAGAGGTCCAGCTCCAAGGGCCTTCTGGCAGTTCCCTCTTTGCGAGAAGCCAAGTTACAGGGAACCAGGCAGAGGGCCTTCTTGGTAGTGGCGCCCTTCCTGTGGAACAGAGATGTCAAGGAAATAAACAACTATCTGACTTTTAGAAGACATCTGAAGGCAGCCCTGTTTAGGGAAGTTTTTAATGTTTGATCTTCCATCGTGTTTTTAATATTCTGTTGGGAGCCACCCAGAAATTCCAGCTAAAAATCAGGAAGAACTTTCTGACAGAGCTCTTTAATTCAGTTTGCCACATTTCCCCATCATTGTGTGTAGATTCTTTGGTGCACCATCCTTCATCCATTTCTGCAAGTAGCTTTGCCTGACACTCACCATTTTGCATGCACCTTCCCCTAATATATGGCATTTTGTGCACACCATTTACACCATGATACACATTTATGTGTAGTAAGTTTGGTAGACATATTTTGGTTGGGGAACCACACTGCAAAACTCTGGGAAACATACATTTTGAAGGGCAGCTGTGTTTTGGTCCACATTCTTTTGCACAGCCCCGATATCTGAGCTGCGAGAGAGAGACTGCATTTTCTCAAGGGTTCAGCTTCTTTGGAATGGGGGTCAGTGGAGACTGGCGTGTCTCTCCCATGATGCTTCCATGAAAATGTCAGGGAAAGAACAATATTGTTGATATATTGCCCCAAATTTCAAGTTGTGTACACGTGTAAATAAAACTATATATCTTTATGGATATATGGTTTTGCTTACACATATACACATCACTGGGGAAGACAGGCGAACTAATGCCTGTGTACTGGATGAAGCAAAGATACCAGTGTTGAAGCAATGATTCTTCAACATCAGCTTTGTTGGACTGGTCATGTTGTGTGGATGCCTGATGATCGTCTTCCAAAGCAACTACTGTATTCCAAACTTTAAAATGGAAAGCGTAATGCTGTTGGTCAACAAAAGAGGTTCAAAGACTATATCAAGGCAAATCTTAAAAAATGTAGTATAAACACCGACAACTGGGAAACACTTGCCTGCAAGCGCTCCAGTTGGAGAACAGCCTTTACCAAAGGTGTCATGGACTTTGAAGACGCTCAAACTCAGGACGCAAGGGAGGAATGTGCTAAGAGGAAGGTACGCTTGGCAAATCCACACCGTGATCAACTCCCGCTTGGAAACCAGTGTCCCCACTGTGGAAGGACGTGTAGGTCCAGAATTGGCCTCCACAGTCACTTACGGACTCTTTGTTAAAACTGTGTTTATGGAACACAATCTTACTCGGCTACGAGTGATCGCCAAAGAAGAATATACAACTTGAAATTTGGGGCAGTGCACCAGCAATATCAGTCTTCCTTGACATTTTCATGGGGAGATCATGGGGCAGCGGAAGCAGGCATGGGCAGAAAGGGTGAGGGAGTAGTGACATTGTCCAATGACATTCGTTGTTGGGCCACATCACTCTCACCTCTGTGGATGGCATTTACAGTGGTACCTTTGTTCCCGAATGGCTCAGCTCCCCAGCAAATTGTTCCCGGACGCTGCAAACCCGGAAGTAAGTGTTCCGGTTTGTGAACGTTTTTTGGAAGCCGAACTTCTGACACAGCTTCTGATTGAGTGCAGGAAGCTTCTGCAGTCAATTGAAAGCCACACCTTGGTTTTCAAACTGTTCCGGGAGGCGAACGGACTCCGGGAACAGATTAAGTTCGAGAACCAAGGTACCACTGTACCATGACTTGCTACAGTGCTTGATACACCAGTTCAATAGGTTTGAGACATCTTCAGCACCCCTAAGGTTTGTTGGCACAGGGCTGAGCCAATGTTGTGATCAGGAAAACCGACACAATATTCACTACGTCTGAACGCACCCCTCAGGACCCGGGGCCTCTGTTTAATTCCCAGCCAGATGGGTGGGGTATAAATAATGAAATCATCATCATTATTATTAATACCATGACTTCATAGCACAATAGAATCACAAAGTTGGAAGGGACACAAGAGTCATCTAGTCCAATTTCCTGTGGGACACGGGTGGCGCTGTGGTCTAAACCACTAGGCCTCTTGGGATTGCTGAAGGTCACGGTACGAATCCCCATGACAGGGTGAGCTCCCGTTGCTTGGTTCCAACTCCTGCCCATCTAGCAGTTCGAAAGCATGTCAAAGTGCAAGTAGATAAATAGGTACCGCTCCGGCGGGAAGGTAAAAGACGTTAGGTCCAGTCATGGCCGACTCTGGGGTTGTGGCGCTCATCCCGTTTTATTTGCCGAGGGAGCCGGCGTACAGCTTCCGGTTCAAGTGGCCAGCATGACTAAGCCGCTTCTGGCGAACCAGAGCAGCGCATGGAAACGCCGTTTACCTTCCTGCCGGAGCAGTACTTATTTATCTACTTGCACTTTGATGTGCTTTCAAACTGCTAGGTTGGCAGGAGTTGGGACCGAACAACAGGAGCTCACCCCGTCGCGGGGATTCAAACCGCCGACCTTCTGATCGGCAAGTCCTAGGCTCTGTGGTTTAACCCACAGCACCACCCGTGTCCCTAGGGGTACCTTTACCTATTGCAATGCTTGAGCCCCCTTTCCAACCCTTACCAGCAGGTAAAGGGCCAGCAGTTCCGATGTTGTCTCTAAATATGGAAAGGAGGCACAAAGTTCTCTCTCTCTTTTTGGAGTGGTGCTGGCGACGGAGGAGTTTTGCGCAAAACCATATGCCCGAGCGTTGAAGCAAACCGCAAACAGGCCAGCGACGGCGGCAAGGCTGTTGCGTGGGTGGGGAGGGAAGTGTTCATAAACGAAGCTGCGGAACCCAACAAGGGGGGGAGGGGAGCGCTCAGCAAGGTATGCCAGTTGGTATTTTGATTTTTTACAAAAGCAATATTGTGACGGCTCGGCTCACACTTCCTTCTGAGACGCTCTGCGGGTTAACGACATCGTGGAAGACGCACAATTTGAGGAGGAGGCTGAAGGAGTTGGGGAGGGGAGTTTGGCAGAGAAGACCAGGAAGAATATCTTCAGGGGCAGACATAATTCTCCTGAAAAGGGGCCACGCCAGACCTTAATGACCCATATTGAGAGGGCCGTTACCCAAAACCTGCCTGACTAGTCCAACAATTTGAATCCTTCAATTTTCACACTTGCTGGATCCAGGAATTATAAGAGCTACTCCTTGCAAAACTCATAGCCGTTTTATTAGGGTTGCCATATTTTGAAAAGTTGGCAAAGTTGATGAGCATTTTTTTTTAGTTTTGCACAAAGTACTTGATCATTTTTGCAAAATCTCAAAAGAAAATGAAGTTTTAAAGCTATTTTTAATTTTAATGAAATTCGCCAAAATCTAGACGTCTGACACCAGTTGCCATACGTGGTTTCCACCCAGACACTACTTCCAACTGCAGTATTCCGGCTATATATGGGAAATTCCAGACATATGGCAACCCTTGCTTTCCACTGTGACCAACCCTATGTATGATAGGATCTTTCCTCATTGGAGGGTCGCTCCATCCCTTTGAATGATCTGGTTGTCCTTTTATGAATCATCTCCGACTTTTCCGTATCCTTTTTGAGTTGAGGCGACCAGAACTGTACACAGTATCCCAATTACGACAGCGCCGTAGATTTACGGTATATGAAGGCATTGTGATGTCGGCAATTTGATCTTCAACCCCTGTCACTGAACCCGCTATTGCTATGATACCAGCTGGCCAGAGTGCTTGCTTCTGCACTCCTCACAGCTGACCTGTATGTTCTTAGACAAAGATGATTTCACAGAGGTCATGAATGCGTACTCTTCTCCCCCAAAGGAACCTGCAAATGATGGCACCTCCACTTCTGAGAAGGGAACCCACCCCTCATCCCCTGCAGGGTGGGGATGGAAAGCTGTTGTGAGACCCCCACATCTCCACTTACAGCAATTGTCCTCTCCTGAATGAGCACCACAGATATCCCTCGCTTGGCTGCATCAGCAGTCAAGCTGATATTCCCTGTATCAGTTTCACTGGAGACCAAACAGCCTTGTATCTGTGTCTTGGGCTTGTTTTCACCTTCACTATATCTTGTAATTATGTCTTTATCTGTGCTCCGTACAAAATTGGTTCGTGTCCAATTATAACCCCCCCAACGCATCTGCGCATGTGTTCGCCCGCGCAAGCAAAGCCAGCCAGCGCTGTTCCAAAAGTTCCCCCTACGTTTCTCACCTGAACACCAATTAATGAAATAATAATAATGATAATTGCATCCCAAAATTATCAAAGGAGAGGAGGGGTGTGGTGGGGGAATTGTGAAATTCTCATGGGTGGGGTGCAGAGATTCTGGCCCAATGCAGAAACACAGGGCGCTGCCTTCAGCAAAGTCTGAATATTGTGTCTATTGATTAGTATTGTCTACACTGACTGGCAGCAGCTGTCCGAGGTTTCAGATGCAGAATGTTTCCCAACTTCACTTGGAGATAACCGGGATTCGAACCTGGGACTATCTGCGTGCTGAGCAGATGCCCTGCCATTGAGCCACAGTCCTGGGTGCTTGCGTGAGCTGTCTTCATTTCCCCCTTCTTTTTCTTCTAGCATGCCTTATTCAGCTCTCTTCATGCTCAGTGGAACAATGTGTGTTTTCCCTTGCAAACATTTATCCATTGCTCTGCTACGCCCGCCCCCCACAACCCATGCTTCCTGATCTTAAAAGCCCCGTGGGAGAAGTCGCCTCTTCACATCATGTCTTTAACTGAAGCCCGGGCGCCCATGAAGGCTGCAGGCTGCTGACTGTTCAGCCCTGGCATTTTGCCCTCCCTCTTGCCACGTCAAACAGCATCTCGAACCTGGCAGTTGGCTAACACCCCAACGTGGCTTGAGAAAAGAGCTGCTAAATCAGCGGGCAGCAGCAGGCAGCCCACTTGGCTGTTCTTCTCCAGAGGACATAGAAGCAGCTTCCTCCCTTTCCAGGTACCGACCGAGTGCCCATTTTGTGCCCCCACCACCTGCCACTGATGTCTTCTTTCGCAGGGTCCAGCAAATGTGGATGTGGGTCCCTCACATGAGGAGGCAAACTAAGACCCGGGGGCTGGATCTGGCCCAAATGCCTTCTAAATCTGGCCTGTGGACGGTCTGGGAATCAGTGTGTTTTTACAAGCATCTCTGGGTTATTTGTGGGGCATAGGAATTCGTTCATTTCCCCCCAAAAAATATAGTCCGGCCCCCCACAAGGTCTGAGGGACGGTGAACTGGCCCCTGCTGAAAAAGTTTGCTGTCCCCCGCGTCCAGTGGCACCAACTTGGGTCAAAGATCTGGGTGCCTGGCCTGCGCGTGCCGTACCGCGACGTGTGGCATCCTGACAGCGCAGTATGGCTTCTTGCGCACGTGTTCCGGTGCTGTAGCAGCAACTGGGCGGAGGCCTGCAACTCCACTGCTCGGCCTCTGGGCTGCGGCGGCAGTGCCAGAGGTAAGGCGGCGGCAGGCAGCGGAGGCTGGGCGCCCACAGCAAAAACTTCATGGGTGCCTGGGCACCCAGGGCCCACTAGATTTGGCACCAGTGCCACAGAACTGTGGGGACCTGCTCTCATCCCAGTGGCTCCCAGCTCAGCCATCCAAACTGCTGGAATCTGTGGGTGCAGAACCTTTACATTGTATTCTGCCCGTGGACTGCCTTGCCAGAGTGGTGCATGCTCTGGTTATCTCTCGCTTGGACTACTGCAATGCGCTCTATGCGGGGCTACCTTTGAAGGCGACCCGGAAACTACAACTAATCCAGAATGCGGCAGCTAGACTGGTGACTGGGAGCGGCCGCCGAGACCACATAACAAAGACCTACATTGGCTCCCAGTATGTTTCCGAGCACAATTCAAAGTGTTGGTGCTGACCTTGAAAGCCCTAAATGGCCTTGGTCCAGTATATCTGAAGGAGCATCTCCACCTCCATCGTTCTACCCAGACACTGAGGTCCAGTGCTGAAGGCCTTCTGCCGGTTCCCTCACTGCGAGAAACCAAGTTACAGGGAAGTTACAGCCCTTGAACAGGGCTTCCTTCAGATGTCTTCTAAATGTCAGGTAGTTGTTTATCACTTTGACATCTGATGAGAGGGCATTCCACAGGGCGGGTGCCACTACCAAGAAGGCCCTCTGCCTGGTTCCCTGTAACCTCACTTCTCGCAGGGAGGGAACCGCCCCAAACCCCTCCATCCTATGCTCAGGTTGTATATTATATTATATTATATTATATTATATTATATTATATTATATTATATTATATTATATTATATAAACCCCGCCCTCCTCAGCCAAGACCGGGCTCAGGGCGGCTAACATCAGGTATAAAAAACAATTGATTAAAATACAACTTAAAAACAAGATTAAAATACTACTTAAAATGCAGCCTCATTTCAGTGGAAGCCCAGATCAAAAAGTGTTTGAGGGGAGAAAACGTCAAATCTTCACCAAGGCCAACTATCCAGACTGGTCCTACATGGGCCAGAAGAAAACCAGGGAAGTCCCCAAATAGGGGTACCATCACAGAAGGAAAAGGAAAGAGGGGGAGGGGATCAAGTTGATTCCAAGCCAAAGGCCAGGTGGAACAACTCTGTCTTACAGGCCCTGCGGAAAGAAATCCGATCCTGCAGGGCCCTGGTCTCATGAGGCAGAGCGTTCCACCAGTGCTGAAAAGGCCCTGGCTCTGGTTGAGGCTAATCTGACTTCCTTAGGGCCCGGGACCTCTAGGGTGTTGCTATTCATGGACCTTAAGGTCCTCTGCAGGGCATACCAGGAGAGGCGGTCCCGTAGGTACGACGGTCCTATATAATAGAATCATAGAATTGTAGAGCTGGACATGACCCCAAAGGACCTCGAGTCCAACCTCCCTGTGGTGGAGGAATCTCAGCTAAAGCATCCCTGGCAGATGGCCAGCCAGCCTCTGCAGATCATGAAGAGCAGATGACTGCAGAGGTTGCAAGGTTTCTAGCTGGGGCTATCAGAATAAGGTCCACCATTTGACTGCTGATTCAGGACCCTAAACTATGTTTTATATAACCGACTTGTTCTGTGTATATCGCAATGCTTTTTGTTGCTATGGCCGACGGATGATGGAAAAATTAAGTTTCATTCATTCATTCTGCTTAAAAACCTCCAAAGAAGGAGATTATTTATATTTGTAAAGAAAGCCATGTCTCCTGAAGACACCACAGTCTCCATTGAAGACTGACTCCAGTCAGGAGTGCCAACTTGGGCCCGCGACTGTGGGTGCCTGGGGCTGTGGGTGCCCGGCCCCTCCATGGGGAATTTTGTGGATGCTCAGGAACCCAGGGCCCCAGGGAGCAGGCATCTATGACTCCAGCACAGAAAGCCTTGGAGTCTCTCGCCACTTGGAGACTGGGGCTGGGCGTAACAAAAGACACCTCTGTATCCCTATCTCTGGGAAGCGATCTTGGTGGTGGTGATCATCTGGCTGCCCGGCTCACAGACTTCCCGGGGGCATATGGTGTTGGACTTTCGGAGGAAGAGAGGAGAACTAGCCCTGCTGTACATCGGGGAGGGCTGTGTGGAGAGAGTCTCTTCCTTTAAATTCCTAGGAGTTTATCTCAGTGAAGACCTTACTTGGAAAATAAATACAACTCGGATCGCTAAGAAAGCCCATCAGAGACTCCATCTCCTCAGAGTATTGCAGAAGAACGATGTCAATCAACATTTGATGATCATCTACCGGTCCACAATAGAAAGTGTCCTTTCATACTGCATCACGGTGTGGTACGCTGGTTTGACATCAACAGATAGGAAGTGCCTACAGAAGGTGGGGAATACAGCACAAGATATTATGGGCTGTCCTGTGAATCCGCTGGATGAAATAGCGGAAGAACGTTGCCTCAGGAGAGTGAGAAAAATTCTCAGGGATGATTCACAGCCTGGCCGGCACTTTCTTGATCTCCTGCCCTCGAGCAGAAGACATAGAAGCAGGATTAGTCACACCAACAGGGTAAAGAATAGCTTCTATCCGTGGGCTGTTAGGCTGCTGAATGAAAAGATAACAACGGGGCAACTGACTTTTGGTTTTGGTGGGTGTGCGTCAGTAAACGAGGGGAATTAAGACTAAGAGCTGAGTGGGGGGGCTCGTGTAATCTCACTGTATGCAAGTTGTACAAGTGACAATAAAGTATTCCAATTTCAATATGATTGGTCACAGTGGAAAGCAAGATGGTGGACTAAGGCAGAGATTCCCATCCAGAAGACCAAGGGAGTCAATTATGTTTCATCCAAGGGGGTTATTTCTACTTGGAAATAAGCATGGGGAAATCTATCCATTCTGGTTTTTCTCAGTTTCTCCTTTTTTTCAGCCTTAAGTCTGATCCTATCCATTTCTGCATTAATTTGTGGATTTCTTAAAGGCCCTTGACGATTGGTCAGTGATTTGGTACAAATTTCTCCTTACTTATTTATCTTTGTGTCGGTGTATGTTATTTTCAAGGGACGCTGGTGGCATTGTGGTCTAAACCACTGAGCCTAGGGCTTGCTGATCAGAAGGTCGGCGGTTCGAATCCCTGCGACGGGGTGAGCTCCCGTTGTTTGGTCCCTGCTCCTGCCCACCTGGTAGTTTGAAAGCACGTCAAAGTGCAAGTAGATAAATAGGTACCGCTCCGGCGGGAAGGTAAACGGCGTTTCCGTGCACTGCTCTGGTGCTCCAGAAGTGGCTTAGTCAAGCTGGCCACATGGCCCAGAAGCTGTCTGCGGACAAATGCTGGCTCCCTCGGCCTATTGAGCGAGATGAACCCCAGAGTTGTCCACGACTGGACCTAACAGTCAGGGGTACCTTTACCTTTATGTTATTTTCACTCACGTATGCCAATGTAGACATACTTCCCCCTCATGCGCCCATTTTCATACACATTATTTGACTGGAGAACCAGATCACAAAATTCGGAGACGTGTCCTTGTTTCTTTCACCAGCATGTGCCCAGTTATGACCAGTGCCTCCTTGTGTGCGCATTATTGCGTCCGAGCAGCGTCACAAAATTCGGAGAACCGCGAATTTCAAAAGGCAGCTGCGTTCTGGTTTCCACATTGTTTCAAAAAGGACAAAAGAGGTATGTTTGCATTAAAATCCAAACAGAGATCAATTTCTCCATCATTTCTGGGCAGAAGCACATAGGGCCGACTCTGGAACGGACCTTTCGCCCTGATTCAGCAGAGCTCTTTCCTTAAACCAGACGTCACTCCTGCCTCCCCTCTCCAGCAGACTAGAACTAGCAAGTCTCTTTCTCTCTCTCTCTCTCACACACACACAATCTCAGAGGCAGCACTTCAGCCACAAACAAGAAGAATCAGGCTCCATGTGCCACCTCGACGGGGGGAAATCCTGCGGCCGGCCGTGTGTGAATATTCATGCGCCATCTGTGGACGAAAGCGCAGAGCGGCTGGCTCAGCTGTTTGCGCCCGGGCGAGGCGTCACGCTCCAGGCTGGCTCCCTTCCAGCTCCGAGTGCAGGTAGAGCCTCTGCTTCCGTCCGGAGCCTGGCAAATGTCCGCCCTGGGCCCTCTCGTCG